AATCCTGTTGGTATTTTAATGAAAATTGCTTTGAATTTAAAGATTGATATGGGCCCTGCCCAGATAGCTCAGCTAGTTAGAGTGTCCTGGTATTCTCCCAACACACAAAGGTCTCGGGTTTCATCCAGGGCAGGGCACATACAAGAATCAACCAATGAATGCATACATAAGTGGAACAACAAATCAATGTTTGTTTTTGTTTTTTTTCCTTTCTCTTCCATCCTCTCTAAAATCAATTAAAACTAAATAAAGAGTGATTGGGAGAGAATAAACATCTTTCTGCTTTCATTATTGAATCTTGCTTGAAACAATGTTGTATTTTTTATTTTACTTACATCTTTCTTTGTGTCCCTCAGAATTTTACATTTTCTTCATAAAACTTGCACATACTTCTTGCTAATTTTATTCTTAGATATTTCATTTTTTGTTATTTGTTTGGGGTGTTTTTGTTTTATTTGTTTTTTTTGTTATTATAAATGGGTTCTCTACCTTCTGGGAAGATAAATGGAAATGTGTCAATGGATTAACTACTTTCATGGAAGTACAGAAAGGGAGTAAATTACAATCTGGTATGGTATTCTGAAAGCCTTATTTTAGTGGGAGTCAAAGGAAAATAAATTAAGAGTCAATTAATCAAAATAATTTAAAGTGTGGAGTTATGGAAAAAATAAAGGGTCCAGGTAGATCTGTGGTCCTCAACCAGAGATAACCCTCCCCACATCCACCCAACCTCCATGCCTGCTCCTTTCCATCTTCCCTGGAGGACTTCAGGCAAAGTCTGGAGGTGTTTTTTTGTTTGTTACAACTTGGGGGATGGGTGTTACTGACAAGTATTGGTTAGTGGCCAGGGATGCTGCTAAACGTCCTACAATACACAATACAGAATTATCTGGCCCCAAATGTTAATAGGGCTGTGGTTAAGAAACCCTGAGGTCAGGATGCCTAAATTTAGGTCAGGATATCACAGACTCCCCAGGTTCCAGGCAGAGGGCACATGAAAACAACAAATAATAATAATAATAAAAATATCCCTTATATTTGTATGTAGTATATGTATGTGCCTTTGGAGAGTGAAGAGAGGAATTAAGAGGTCTTTTATTTATTTTTTAAAAGGTCTTTTATATTTCACTTTGTTAGTGAAATAAAACTAAATATTTCTTGCTTGGATTTCTGAGCACAGCCATTTTTGCAATTGAAAAATGAGGAAAGGAAAAAAAAAGCACAAATATCTGGCAGGTTGGAACAGAGCCTTTTGTAAAACTACTGGTAGAATCCAGAGAAGAGATTTTCCAGCAGCCCCCACATGTTCAGGAGGCCCTGGTGCCATTACCTGTGCTTGGTGTCTGCCTCATATATTGCCTTCCACATCCATAGGCTCTTCAACAAAAGGACAGAGGAAACTTGACTTAAAGTCAGATAATTTATGCCCAATACTTGATTTTATACCTTTTTGCTTTGTTATATTTTCATGTATATTTTACCTTGGCTTTAGGAAAAAATAATAACCTACTTTACTATGCTATTAGACAAAGTCACTTAAGTGGTTTTTAAACTGTACAGCACACTACTGATACATGATGAGGCCAAAAGAAGGTAAAGGCTGTGCTCGACAAATTATTTTTTCACTCCATGCCCCTGACGCCAAACCTATAGGCAAAGGAAAATGAGCGAGAAAAGGATGGGAAGGCAAGTGCAGGTTAGAAGAAAAGTAATGACTAAAGTAGTCGCAGGATTCACATTGTTCACGTAACTAAGAATTGGAGATGATCCTGATGTGGTCGATAAAATCATAAGCTGGTTGTAGCCGATCCGCAGGCCCTTGAAAAGACCATGGTCAGCTTCTTTTTAAGCAGCCCTATTCCCCCGACCTGAGATGTGAAGAGATGATTATAGAATCCTTGTGCAGTGTTTGGAGACTAACAGTCTGTGTATTTTTTCTTTTTAAATATCTGTCCCCGGGAGTGGGGGTATAAGGTGACTAAATGGTAGTGGGGAAAAAATACAAGATTAAGCTTTTAAAAAGAATTTAAAAGAAAAAATAAATATATGTCCCCCAGAGCCTAGAAGCAAAAGGGATCCAGCGACGGAGTCATCATTCCTCCACTAAGGACAAAGCCAGATGCAACTCAGGCCTGATCAACGGGTTGTTGAGTAGATGAATGGAATACATTCTCCAATCACATCAAGGCCCTGACATAAAACCAACTGGATGTACTGATATATTTTTCTGGCTTATGTGCCTCTGAAAGGTGTGCAGGCTGTGAAAAGTACTTTAAACAACTGTTTCTTCCTTGGCCTTGAGGCAACTTTAGAAGATAGGGTAATGGCACTCACTATGTGTGCCGGGAGGGAAAAATAATGGTGAAAACGTTTACCGGCAGCTGTCTTGAGCACCAAACACCATCTCACTTTCTCTCACGCAATGTGATTCCATGTAAGTTTTTATTAATTAAAACTTTTTAGCACGGGAAAGAACCTTAAGTCATTGGATCAGTTTTCAGTTTTACAGAGAGGCCCTATCTTTGACAGGAAGGAATTGACACAGCCAGAACTAAAGCGTTCGTTTCCAACTCAGGAAAAGCAAATAAACAAAAACATCCTAAGCAATTGCGGGTTTTTCGAGCCCACTCCTTTGAGTGGTTTTTCTTGCCAGTGTTATTTTCAAAACACTTTTCAGAACGCACCAACAATTCAAAGCTCCAAACGAACTTGGTAACTAGCCTCGAGGGTGGGGACCCCCACCTGAGGAGTCATCGCACGGAAAGGTGCTCCTGTTTCTCTTAGGAACATCTCTACACCTTGAATACCTGCTTCGATGACACGCTCCAGCAAAAGGTAAACATGGCCGGATCAAGCCGGACCTCCAGCAAAATAGTTTAAAGTTCGAATTTTTCCTCTTCGCATCTTGAAAGAGGCTTTTAATTCTGTGCACCCCTCCCCCATCCCCTCTAAAGTTTGTTTTCTAGCTATAAACTCGCTTCAACTCCCAGTTTCCATTTCAGTTGCCTGAGAATCCCAGTAATTAGCCAAGTTCACTTAGACGAAGAAAAAGATACCTTTGTGTACAGAATGAGAGCCACCGCGTGGCCAAGGAGAACCACGCGGAAAAGGGAAACATTTTCGTCGTGAGCTACTGAAAGCGGCCAGGAGGAGGGTTAAGGCGACTAGGAGGCGTGTTTTGTTGAGTGGCTTCGAAAGCCGCCGAGGCAGCCGAAGCTACTTTCGTAGTTAGCAAACAAAGCGTCTCCCCAGTAACCGCCAGGTTCCCGACGAGGCTTCTGCCAATCAAACCGCGGAGTCGCTGGTCTGCCTGCCCCGGGCTCCTCCTCCCTGCGTCTCTCCTTCCTCCTCTCCTTTTCCTCAACCTATAAGAGCCACCAATCCCAGCAACAAACAAGCCTTCAAAAGCTAGAACCCAGCGGCCCTCTAACGGGCGGCCCCCACCCTCTCCCCGCCTCACATCTGTCCTGCACTGTGGCGCAGCAGCTGATTCATCTCCAGCCAGGGTTTGGGAAGGGACTGCGCTCCAGCAAGTTGCAGGGTAGCTTTCAGGCTGTCGGTCTACTCTAGGACCAAGTTTCCCTGCTTTGTCGTTTTAGATGTGTGTTCTCTTAGGTGCCAAGCAGCCGGCAAACCACAGAAGAAAAAAATCGTAAGGCTGCTGTCTTCTTAGAGTGACGCTTTTTTCCGTTGTTTATTCATTTTAAGTCCTGTAATTGGAAAAACCACCCAAGCTTTGTAAACTCTGGCCTTAATTCATTCTCCCGGCGGGGGTGTCTTTTCTGGGAGGGTGAGTGGGTGGGAGACTGGCTTTAATTTTCAGTGTAATCCTAAAACAGAGGCTCCAAAGTCTTAATTAGTCATCGTTTGGCTGCCTTAGTCCTCGGGTTTAACCTTATTTTCACCGAACCTACTTCTGCCGGGTTCTCCATTGAGGTTACAAAACAAAAACACCACAGAGCCGAAACTGGAGGCCGATTCAGGCGCTGACGTCTCTACCAGGGTTATTTACGTTTGGGTTCCTCCTCCCCCCCCCCCTTTTAAGTGACGGGGAAAGTCTTAATGTGGCACATGACAGTGACAGTTCATTTACTTAAAAGCAACAGGACACACGCGAAAACTAGACCCAGAGGAGAGGGCTGGGAGGGGGCATGCGGTTTTTGAAATCAGCCAAACAGCATCTGGTCTTTTAAAAGGGTAATTTCATCAAGGAACTCCTGTTGGAGTCTTCCTCTCAACCAAAATAAACTAACCGGAACAAGTGTTTACTCAATGACTAATTTGTTTGAAATACCCGATGGAAGAACGGGTCCCCTAGCAGGGTTTAAGTCTTAAAAGTAGACTTTTTTATTGAAACAGATGAGCAGCCCAGGTGTGGGTCACCTTTTCCTAAAGGCGGCAGCTGCCCGGGTCCAAGGATGGGAGTGTAAAGCCAAGTGGCAGCGGGACAGGCGCGCACCCGTCCCCAGGCACAGACTTTTAAAGAGCATGTGAGCATGACAAGTGTCCGTCGCAACGTGTTAGATTTCGAAACTGCCTAGCAATCCAGTCCGGAACTCGCAGCTTAGCCCAGGGGGAACAGTCATTCGTCTTGGGTGTCCGTGTCTCATCCTACCCGCCCCCCCCCCCCCCCCCGTAGCTGTAGGAGGAAGAGCCCGGGGAGGGGAAGGGTGCGACGCGCCGCGCCCGCGTATCAATGGCAGCCGCGCATTCTGGAAGAAGTTGGTTCTTGTCCCGAATACTTTTCCTACGGTGCTCCGCCCCTTGAATCAGAAGCGGTTGTCTTCCCCTGCGGCTACAGCCGGGACGGAGGAGCGTGGGGCAGCTGTCAAAAACGAAAGCGGGGGCCTTTTCTTCCTTGGGGTAGAGGAGGGGAAGGAGGGGGCGGCCTGATTTCCATCTGTTGCAATTTCCTAACCAAACGCACCCTCGTAGCCCCGGGAAGAAAGGCCCAAAGGAGAAACCCAGGGCGCTGGGCTAGTGTGGCGGAGACTAGCGAGGGATGCGGGAGGCGTGCACACAGCCGGGAGGAAGGATCGGTTTTTGGGCTCCGCCACCCTCTCGAGAAACCGGTGACAGCGGCCGCGAGCGCGCAGAGTGAGGCGGCGAGGCCCTCGTGCAGTCCTCTGGGGCTCGAAGGTGCGGGGGAGGGGCGGGGAAGCGGTGGGGCGGGCGGGGGACGGGGCGGGCGGCTGGGGGCGGAGGCAGGACCTCCTGTACCTTCCCTCCTCGCCTCTCTTAATCTGACAGCGCGGAGGTGCGCCGAGCAGGAGCGAGGAACAAAGGAGCGGCGTGGGGAAGGGGGTGAGTTGGGCGAGGGAGAGTCCCCGGCCGGCAGCCAGAAGATCCCGGCAGGAGAAAGCCCAAGTGTCACTTGAATTCCACCCAAGAAGCGGGCGCCCGGGATCCGAGCGCTTAGTTCAGCAGTAGCTACTGGAGTTGGTCCTACAAGTTACCGGAGACTCCGCTGGGAAGGAGACATCCGCTTGCCCCCTGCGCCCCCGCTCCTGGCCCCCGCGAGACCCCAGTAGTGTTTTGCGCTGGAAGGAGAACTCCAGAATGAAAAGTAAGAAAGGTAAGCTCCGCGGGCTCTCGCTCTGTGCGCGCGAGTCCCGGGAAAACGTGCTCGCCGGGCTTAGGGCGAGAGTGACTTGTTGGACTTTCCAGCCCCGGGGCCCTCCGGCTGGAACCGCAGCGGTTCTCTTTGTTGAGGCTGCATCTGAAATGGCAGTTGTTTTCCCTCTAGACACAAGACGAGGGGCTGTTGTGGAGGGACGGTCCTCTCCACGCTGCTGGCATAATGTCAAGAAACGCTCACTGCCTTGTTTGTGCGGCTCCCAAGTTTCATTGTTCAGCCGACACCCCATGCCCCGTCGAGACGCCGCGTGGCTCATCGCTGGTTCTCGCAGGCTAGGGGTGTGGGCCCGGGTCGACAGGTACCCTCTGCCCGTAGCGACCCGGGGGCGGCCGGGAGCGCCTTTGTTTGAAAGTTGGGCACCGACTCTGGGGGCCCCGACTGCCCCTGAGCTGAGCCCAGGCACTCGCTTCTCCGGGGATGGGTTGTTTTCACAATCGAAGGAATGCTACTCAGACCCCCCAGATCGTCCTCGGGGATCGAAAACTTTGGAATGGTAGACTTAAAAACTAACGACGTCCAGAAGTTTTCCCACAAATAATTTGGGGCAACATGAAGCGTTAGGACTGAGGGCAGGCAGCTTAAAGCAGCGTGCAAGTCAGAATGAGTCCAAGTATGACAAGCAAGGTTGGTTGTAAGTGCAAAGAGTGAGTCTGTCATTGTTTCCACGAAACGCTTGCCGTCAGTCTGGTTTAAAAGCAAAATACACGGGGGGGCGGGGGGAATCCTGCCACCACGAAAGGTCAAAGAATGTTAGCTCCCTCTTGAAGTGAACTTTTGAGTCCCTGACAGGGAGGTACCCCGAATGTTCCGTCGTGGGCCACAGTTGGCTTTTCTGTTGTGATTTATGTTAAGTGGTTCAAAACAGAAGTTAATCACTCGGGGAAGCCAGCGCGGGGGATGGGGCGCGCTGCTGCGCACGCGCAGGAGCGCCGCATAGTTTTTGCAGCTTCACATTCTTTCAGAGTCCTCGCAGATACAGTTAAAACAATAAAGATAGAGTGGGGCAGCCTCAAGTCCAAGACGATTACTAAGGCCCGTTTTCACCCTGAGGTGCTGATGTTTTCATTATGAGCTGGTGACTTTGAAGCGCGCCTCATCTCATACTTTCCCAGTGGGAGTAAAGCTAAATGTCAAAAGCCGGGGCTTTCGTGGTGGTTGGTGGCCGGACTCCCTGCTGACCGACCCCTTCCCAGGGACTGAGTGGGAACGCGGGGCCTGCAGTTTTTGAGCCTGTGACTGGGCACCGGGAGCACCCGGGATGGCCCCTGGAAGGCCATGTCTGCTCGCAAAAAAAATTGGCTGACGGGTCTAGATCCCGACTGGAGGCAGTTCTTCCTGGGATAACTTGTGGGAAGGCTGTTTTGAAGAGCGGCGATTGTGAGCGCAGTGTTAAGCTGGGCTTCCGCCGGGAACGGACTTCCCCCATTGTCCCTGCTCCGGCGGGGGAAGCGTTGATTGGCATTCCTGCTCCCCCCCCCCGCCCCCCGCCCCAAAGCGTCCCCTGGTCCTTACCCCACACCACCAGGCCTTTGGGTGCCCTCCCCGGGCCCCCTCAGGTACACACCCCTGGCGCACCTCGCCGATCCCCCCTGCAGTCTAGGGCGCCTATCCATCCCTTCCGCGAGCAACTTTGGGTATTCCCCTACACCCCCTTGGCCCCTCGCCCCTTCTACGGCACTCCCCGGCGCTCGGGAACCCCCTCTCTGTTGCCTCCGCCTCCCACCCCACCCCCGGGCCCTTTCCTGCGCCCCCACCCCCGGGTATCTCTCTGTCGTCCCCTTCCCCCAACTCCCTCTTCCGGGGGACCCGGCCGGGGCCCCCGGGCGCCTGGATGGGATACTCGGTCCGCAGCCCGGGACGACGGGTGCGGAGCGGGCGCCGGGAAGCGCAGACTGCCGGGTTTGCTCGGTTTCTTTCCCTTTTTAGGTTTTCTTGATAAATCTTAGGGGGTGAACAGGCCCCATCAGAACGTAGAGATTCACGGCAGCGTATCTAGTTTCTTGTAATCCGAAACTCCTGAGGTCCCGGTTGTGCTACTCGTGCGGTTGGAGGGGCCGAGTTCGGTGGAGGCTGAGGAACACGCCAGAACAAAAGCTGGCTGGCCCTCCTCCCTGCCCCGTCCCCCCTCCCCGGTTCCTCCCTCCCGGCCTCCTCGGGCCCCCTCCCTCGCGCCTCCGTGGGGGCCAGCTTTCCGAGTGCTCTTTTAAGGACTTTGGAAGCAGTCTGTCCCTCCTGATTTGTGGGGTTGGACTATTTCATAAAAGTCTCTGAACATCTTTTCAAGTTTCCTTGAAAACAAAAGAACCTTAAACTCTGTCGCAAAGACCGGGATTTGGGAAGACTGGCTTATGATAGTAAGTGTCTCGTCTTAGAAAGCTGAAGATACCCAAAAAATCTCCCCAGATGGCTTTAAACCAATTAGAAAGAAGGTTCATCCAGGAAATCCGGAGTCTTTGTCCTTGTAGTTCCTCACAGTGTGGAATTCTTGCTTTAAAATTGTTCGATGGCTGCACCCGCCAAGCACAGCTCGGGTTTAGTGTGATTCCTGTCACTTCTAAGATATTCTCATCTCAGAAAGGAAGTTTGTTAGGTGAGGTTTGCTTTTTCTTAATTGTGTGCTTAAACTTTTCCTTCCATTATACTTTTTTTTTTAAGAGAAAGAAACATGGATTTGCAATTCCACTTATTTATGCATTCATTTGTTGGTTCTTGTTTGTGTCCTGACCTGGGATGGACGCCTCAGCCTTGGCTTAATCCAGACTAGCTCCAACCGAGTTCCCCGCCAGGGATTCCTGGGATTATTCTTATTTCTAGATTCTTTTTCAGCCTCATCTAGGTTTACAACCACTATCTCTGTCTCTTGCACCCCTCTTTCCTACTCAGAAAAGAAAAAATTGCTTTTTAGAGCTGTGGGACCATAGGCTTTTAGCTTTTTATACATTTCCTTGCGTGTGTGCATGGAGTAGAAGGTTTGCGATTCCCAGCACCCCTCCCCCGCAACCACTTTTTAAGTGTAAGCAGAAAGCAGGACTTTGGAAACAAGTCGTAACCGGGAAACTTTTCAAAAGCTCTGTTACAATAGGAAATGAGTAACGTGGAAAAGTCTTTTTGTTTTTCCAAGTTGAGCCACAATCCGGAGGGAGAGTTTTAATGAAAATAGTCCTGACAGCAGCAAACGTGGTTTGCTGCGGTGAGATATCAGCTGCTGTAGCCAAGAGACTGGAGTCTTAACTTCCTGTTACTTCAGCTTTTGTGCACATATTGGAAATATTTGTGAAGAGGTCCAGAGGCCTGGCACTCATTTATTTAAATGAACTGAAGACAAAGTAAAGTCGCACTGCATTTTGGTGTTGCTCAACTGAGATCTGCTTTTGTGTGTCACTAACCTATTCTGAAAGATCAGGCTTCTTGTCAGACCTGAGCAGATCAAAGTTCAGGCTTCAGGGCTTTGTTTGTTTTAAACTCTTTGTCATCATCAACTTACAGTTGAATTCAATGAGCAAATTTTCACACTTAAAAAATTTTTTTTAAGGGGAGAGTGGTTCACAGCCTTGAAAAGAATGCCTGGCTTTTCAGACATTGAGGAGTTCAAACGAGATTTATTTTAGTCATTCAATTATTAAAAGATTGATTTAAAAGCTAGATTTCTTTGCAAGTCTAAAACAAACTCATTTATAATTTATTAAAATTTTTATAAATAGCTCTCCACCCAAGTTTCAGTATGGGTTTTAAATTTTTCTCATCTTCTCAACAGCAAAAGCACTTTCGGTTTAAAATGCCGCGCCCCCCCCCCTCCCTTTTTAAAGCAGTCTAATAGAAGCTTCTGTGAAGGGAACTGTGAAATACATGGGAGTTAAAATTTAGGATTCTTGTGTGGTTTATTAACGGCTGTTTACTAAGCCTTGAGCTAAAGTGAATTTGCAAGATCATTCTGCTCTTTTGTTAGAACTTGATTTTTACTTTGTCTTCTGAAAGTTCTGTCTCTTCAGTGGACACTCCCTCCAGTACCTTATACCCCCTGCAGTCCAAAACTAACCATGTGTCACCAAGTAAAGTCTGACTCAATTAACTGGGAAAATACCTCATTAACAAATCTTTGAATCTGTACCTTTTTCAGTTTTATTGTGTTAAAAGGCTTTAAAAGGATGGTTAAAAAAAAACCTTCAGAAGTACATTGAATGGTTTCTCACTGTGAGAGGTACTGTTTTTATTTCCTGTCCAGGTAAACTACTCAATTAAGTTTGTGTCAACAAAGTTAAGAATGCATACCTTTAAATTTTGTTACTTTAATTAATTTTTTTTATGTAGAAATACTGGTATGTTCAGGCATGTGATAGTTTATAATTTATTTCTTTTTTTAAATTTTAGGTTGTGTTAAGGAGAATGTATTTCTCCAATCACTAGGATTTGCCCATGTCCTTTTGAAGAGGGGGGGTAATAGTGTTAAATTAAATATTTTTTATCTTTTTTTAAAAATGTTGTTCAAGTAGCGGTGTCTCCATTTTTCCACTGCCACTTTCCTCTGCCCCACCCACCCCTACCTCTCACCCTCCATCCTTCCCCTCCATTGGCTTTGTCCATGGGTCCTTTATACATGTTCCTTATGAAGCCTTTCCCTTCTTCCCTCCCCCATCTCCCCTCACCTCCCTCTCCCTTCCCCTCTGGTTACTGTCAGTTTGTTCTGTATTTCAGTGTTAAATATTTTAAAGTTCTAAATTATGTTTAAGTGTCTAAAAGAGCTAGGTCTGAACTTTTATTGAATATGCAGTCTATGTGTGATTTGATGAATATCCTTTATGTTTTGTGAATTCTTAAAATTTCTGGTAGGATTAAAGTACTTAGAGACAAAAGAGAGTTTCCTTTGGGGTTGCATATTCAGTTTTCTTTGTCTTGTAATAATTCAAGACAATTCTGCTTATTGATATGTAGTATTTTCCCTTCAGATTAATATGGCAGTTGAAGTTTGTGGAAATTTAAAATTTTGAGTTTAAGCATCTTTATTCTCTTATTACAGTTATTCTCTTAATTCTATTATTCCTTATTCCTATTATTCCTATTATTCTCTTATTCCTATTATTACTAATAGGAAATGTTTTTGTGTAACAACACTGGAAACTTCTGTTCTTGTTTGTATTTGGTAAAGAGTGACAAGTACTGGCCATTAAAAGCAGGTATTGAGTTTTGAACAAATATAAGTATCCATGAAAAAGAAATGACCATCAATTGGCAGAAATTTTTTATATACATTTTTATCTTTAGAATACTAACTGGGTTAAGTATGTAATTTTCCCTCTTATTTCAAACTTCAGTAGAAGAGAAAGCATAGCATTTAAAATGTACAATAGGAAACTCATTAGATTTATCCTAGATAGCAGTGACCTCGAAGAGCAGGTTATTAGACACATTCCATCTGCTGTTGTACCTTTCCTGATAACACAGGTGGCAAACTGTTATTCACTTGGGTGGAGCTTTGTCTCCTATTGAATTACATGAAAAACTGGCCTGAGTATCATTCCAAAGAATTGAGAAAAAGTTAAATCTATAGGAAAGTGGGTACAAGAAAGCATCTGACAACTGGTTGAGAGTCTAGAATGTGTTTCTGGTCAGATTACTCTTGATACTTTGCACATGCTCTGGTATTTCAGAACAGAAAACACTGGTCCCTCCCTGGGCTCCCAGCAGTTGAGAAAACATGTTTACACTGAATGGTCAAAAGAGATGAGTTTTGCAGCAGGTGCCCTGCTGATGAAAGTGGTTAATGGCTGGCCTTTGTCCTTTGCTAGGTGTTGTTACAGCGTCCGGCAGTGAGACTGAGGATGACGACAGCATGGACATCCCCTTGGACCTTTCCTCTTCTGGCTCAGGCAAGAGAAGGCGAAGAGGCAACCTGCCGAAGGAATCTGTACAGATTCTCCGTGATTGGCTGTATGAGCACCGATACAATGCGTATCCTTCAGAGCAAGAAAAAGCATTACTGTCCCAACAAACACACCTATCTACACTACAGGTAAGGAAAAAGAACATGGTATATATGCACATAGGTTTCTTTTTTTTTTTTTCCTAAAGTCATTTTATAACATTCTTGTATGTCAAGTCCTTAAGTGCCTCCTGGCTCAAAAAAAAAGAAAAAAGAAAAAAAGGAATATCTTACAAACTTTCTAGTACTGATAGCTAAAATAACTGGCTATTAAGAGAAACAGATACACTGGACAGTCACCTGTCAAATAACATTTTCCTAATGCCTAAAAGAGCCTTGCTTAATGCAACAAACATAAAAAGGAGGTTAGATCTTACTCTTATTACCCAGGAAACTGGTTTGATATTTAAACGAGGATAGACCTCAGTGAGGTAATTCATGTCTGTCTGTTGACACAATGATTTGAACTGGGAAAAATCAGTAACTGGGGGGAGTGGCCCTTTTCATACAAGAAAGATTTTCCTGTAGTTGATTAACTTAGATGCTGGGGCAGTAGGTAATCGGTTAGTGTGGGGGAGAGTCAAAAGGTAAACTTCCTTCCCTAAAATCAGTTTTAAACATTTGAGAATTTAGACTTTTTTCTTCCTGAAAAGGTTTAAGGATGATGAGACAAAAAAGGGCATTTGTATTAGAAAAGGAGCAGTTTCCTTTCTGGGCTGGGCTCAGATACATTGGAATTAATGTGTAAGTTCCAGTAAGCCTTTTCATGCCTTAGATGCAAAGAGAGATCAAGTAGGCATTTATGGATGGTTCTCAGAACATGCATGCTCAGCGTTAAGGCGTACCTGTGTAATTTCAGGTCTGTAACTGGTTCATCAACGCCCGCCGCAGGCTCCTCCCTGACATGCTAAGAAAGGATGGCAAAGATCCAAATCAGTTCACAATTTCTCGTCGTGGGGCCAAGATTTCTGAAGCAAGCTCTGTGGAGTCAGCGATGGGCATCAAAAACTTCATGCCAACTCTAGAGGAGAGCCCATTTCATTCCTGTACAGCTGGACCAAACCCAGCCCTAGGAAGGCCACCCTCCCCTAAGCCATCATCTCCAGGATCAATTCTGGCTCGTCCATCAGTAATCTGTCATACCACTGTGACTGCATTGAAAGATGTGCCTTTCTCTCTCTGTCAGCCTGTTGGAGTGGGACAAAACACAGATATACAGCAGATAGCAGCCAGCAACTTTATAGACACCTCCCTTGTGTACCCAGAGGACACCTGTAAATCTGGACCAAGTACAAATACACAAAGTGGTCTTTTCAACACTCCTCCCCCTACTCCACCGGACCTCAACCAGGATTTTAGTGGATTTCAACTTCTAGTGGATGTTGCACTCAAACGCGCTGCAGAGATGGAGCTTCAGGCCAAACTCACAGTGTGACCCTTTTCAAGCAAAACGGTTCTCACAAATGTTATGATTGCCGGGGTGATGGCAAGAGATTAATTGCATTATTTTATATATTTTTTTATTAATATTTGCACATGGGATTGCTAAAATGAAGCTTCCTGTTACTGAGATGTCTTCAGTGGAATACAGTCATTCCAACAACTATAAACTAAAGCTACTGTAGAAACAAAGTTTTTTTTTACTGTTTCTTGGTAGATTATTCATAATGTGAGATGGTTCCCAAGATCATGTGATTTTTTTTTTCTCCTCTTCCCCCCTTTTTTTTTGTTGGTGTTTTTTCAGACTGTGCAATACTTAGAGAACCTATAGCATCTTCTCATTCCCATGTGGAACAGGATGCCCACATACTGTCTAATAAATTTTCAATTTTTTTTCAAACAAGTATGAATCTAGTTGATGCCTTTTTTCATGACATAATAAAGTATTTTCTTTAAAATTTACTGTAACACAGAGTGTTTTGTTGAGGGAGGTACTTCTTAAAAGTGAGTAGGAATATGTATCACACCAGAGAGGAAGTTGGGGGTTGGGTGGAGTGTAAGTTAAGGGGGTGTCGCCGGCTCTTTGAAGAACTGAGGACAACAAGCCAGTATGTATAAACAGGATGTGTGATATTGACTCTTGATAGGAAGCATAAAGCTTAAAACTGTATGGCAAATTAAAATGAATCATTCCTTCAGTGTTTTTACTAACCACTAAAGCCCTTAGTAATCTGTCCTGCATATATTAAAACATGGCCAGTGTTGAAAAGAAAGGTCTCAAAGCACCTGATTATGGCTTAACTTTCCAGAAGTAAACAATAATCTAAGCAGTCTCTTAGTATTACCCCTCTTTCATGTTACCCTTTAAACTTTATTCAATGGTAACAGTTAGATAAGGGCTTTACATTCAAGTAGAGCACTAATTTGAACAGAACCACCTCTGAAAACATTTTCTAAAGTGATTAAAACAGTGAGGCTTTGTCTTCTGTAGGGTTGTTAGTTTATCAGGGTTATTTTCTAAGGTCTCAAGTGGAATTGATTGGGATAGACCATTACTTAGGAAGCCAGAATAGCCAGAAGGGAATTGGTGGTGTTCCTTTCATTTATGGTTCAGCAGATTTGTCACATGCCACAAAACCATTCTTAGCAGTCATGCTCAGCATGAGGTTTGTTTGTTAATGACAGGCATATTCTTTCCAGCCCTGACCCAGCTCTGAATTGTATAAGTTTAAGGGAATGTCAGAGCTTCAGCATTGTTTAAGGAATGTAGAAAAATATGTCCAAATTTACATTTATGTAGTTTTGAAACTATTTAGAAAGTACTTACTGTAGAAAGAGCTCAACTCAAAGGCTTTTGGTAAATGAAAGAGAAAACTTACAACCAGGAGGTGTAAGAACAATAAGCAAGGCCCTGGCCAGGTTGCTCCATGGATTGCAGTGTCATCCCTATACGCCAAGGCCGTGGTTTCCACTGGGGTCAGGGCACATACAAGAGTCAACAAATGAATGTGTAAATAAGTAGAACAGCAAACTGATGATTCCCCCTACCCCTTCCTCTCTCTCTCTTTAATAAATAAGTATTAAAAATAAGGGGAAAAGATGTGGTACTGCAACCTGTTAGGAGCATGGCTTTGAGAGGCACATCAGCCTTGAGTGGGCTAGTCCCACCTCAGGGTCACAGAAATAGATAAAACCAAAAATGAAATAAAGTATATCAAAGGAACAAAATAAACACAAAAATAAGATAAAGGTGATTAAGAATCATTACTTGCTCAAATAGCTAGATCAAAGGCTGAAAGTCTTTGAGTACAGATAAGGGAGACCAGCAAATCATGAAAGTCTTCCCTAGTTATGTTATGAATCATACCAGAAAGGGGAGAGAATGAAGCCATATGAGTGATTTAAGAAAATGTCAAGGGTCAAATGAAACCCAAAGGTTTAAGAAAAAAATCACTCCAGATTGCTGGTTTTATTTTTTCCCTCCTTGAAGTTGATAGAGATTCTGACTGATAATAATTTGGGTGATAAATGTAATTGGAAAGGTAAGTATAAAAAAAATCCTAATGGAAGTGTTCTTATGCATGTTATTTACAAAGTATATCTTCTCATTTGTGTATTTTTAACCTATTTTCGAGTTCATCCCTTTTTATTTTTTATATTTTAAAGATTTTATTCACTTACTTTTAGAGAAAGGAAGGGAAGGAGAAAGTGAGGGAGAGAAACATCAGGTGTGGTTGCCTCTCCCTTGCCCCCCACTGGGGACCCGCTGGCAACCCAGGCATGTACCCTGACTGGGAAGCAAACCAGCAACCTTTTGGTCCACAAGCCCAAGCTCAATCCACTGAGCCACACCAGTCAGGTCTAGAGTTCATCCCTCTTAGATAGCATACAGTTGGGCCTGTACTTTTTATCTATACTAATAATCTGCCTATTTTACTTGGTGTGTTTACTTGATTTACATTTAATGTAATTACTGATAGTTGTTTACCATTTGGGTTTTTCTTCTCTAACTCTTCCTGCCTTTTGGATTATTTAAATATTTTTAATACAGATTTTTTTTTCTATTGGTTTATATACTATGTTCTCTTTAAAAATTTATTTTTCAATTACAGTTGACATTTTAAATGGTTGCTCTGGGATTACAATACATATCTTTATTACAGTCTACTCAGGGTCGGTATACAACTTTCTACATAACATTGAACCTTGCAACAGTGTAGTTCAAGTCATTCTCTCCTCTCTTCGTTTTGTGTATCTGTAGCTACATGATAAATCCAAGACAACATTATAATTTTTGTTTTAAACTCATATGTGTCTTATGAAAAATTAAGAGAAAAGAGAATGTATGGATAGTCTTACATATTTGCTGAATGTTTACTATTTTTGAGGCTCTACATTCGTGTTAGTCCAAATAACATGCCATCTCTTCAACTTAAATGTTTTGAGAATTGTGTGGGCCTGCTGGTGACAAATCATCTGTTTTTGTTCATTGAAAATAATTTATTTTACTTTTATCTTAGAAAGATAGTTTCACTAAAGATAGAATTACGGGTTGATAATCTTTTTGGGTTGGTTTGTTTGTTTGTTTGTTTTCATTATTGTAACAGCATTATCTTCTGGCTCCCACTGTTTTTCATGAAACATCAGTTGTCACTTGTATCATTCTTCTCTTATATGTAATGTCTTTTTCTCCGGCTCCTTTATCATTGTATTTCAGTAGTTTGATGTAATTATGTATGGTTTTCTTTGTATTTACTATGCTTGGGGTTTGTTAAGCTGCATGCATCAGTAAGTTTATGTTTGGGAAGTTTTGCCCATTTCTTCAGGTTTTTTTCTGCTTTCTCCTAGAACGACAGTAGATTTATATTAGATCACTTGATTATTATCTCTGAGGCTCTGTTTTGCATCAACCTAGGTTCCCTCTATAGATGGATAACTTGTACTAGTTTATCTGTTCATTGGAATCATCTGGAAAGCTTAAAAATCCCACAAACACAAAAACTGTGGTGTGAGTTTAAGAATTTTTAAAAGCTCCCTTAGTGATGCTACTGCATACCAAGTTTGGGAACCACTTCCCTAAGTACATCTTTAAATTAGCCATTGTTTCTCTTAAGTAGAACATTAGGAATCTCTTTCCAACAAAAATAATTTTGTTTCTGCAGTCTTTTTGTTGGTGCATTAGTTAATCTTTGTGAAAGAACTATAATTTGCTGTAGAATCATCACCCTTATCACCCAAGTTAACTTATAATTAGAGTTTGACGTAAGTTTGAAATTTAGCACTGGGTACATACTATAATATACGTGCAGTGCATATAATATGTAAAGCCAAGACCCACTGGTGTGGCTCAGGTGATTGGGCATTCCCCCAACAAAGGGAAGGTTTTGGGGTTTGATTCCCAGTCAGGTCATGTGCCTGGGTTGCAGGTTTGATCCTGGCCAGGGTGCGTAGGAAAAGCAACAGACTGATGTTTCCCATATCAGTGTTTCCCTCTCTGTCCCTCTCTAAAATTAAATAAAATCTTTAAAAAACTGTAAAGCCAGCCCTGGCTGGCGTAGCTCAGTGGATTGAACGTGGGCTGCGAACCAAAGTGTTGCAGGTTCGATTCCCAGTCAGGGCACATGCCTGGGTTGCAGGCCATGACCCCCAGCAACTGCACATTGATGTTTCTCTCTCTCTATCTCCCTCCCTTCCCTCTCTAAAAATAAATAAATAATATCTTAAAAAAAAACGGTAAAGCCAAGCCACGAGCAAGTAGAGCTAGCACTGCAAGAAGGTGAACATGGCATTTGTATCAAATTAAAAAAGTTTATCTCTGGAAACTGGCTAGAGAATAAAAAGCAAAGCTCAGAGATCTAGTTTTAGGTCTCCTTGGGCTAATAAACAGCAGAATGTTATTATTACGTTGCTTTAAATTTCTTCTCAATGATTTTTTTAAAGACTTTATTTATTTTTAGAGAGAGGGGGAGGGAGGGAGAAAGGGAGAGAGATATCAATGTGTGGTTGCCTCTTGCATGTCCCCAGATTGGAACCTGGCCCTCAACCCAGGCCTGTGCCCTGACTGGGAATCCAGCTGGCAACCTTTCAGTCCACAGACCAGCACTGAGTCCACTGAGCCCACTAGCCAGTGTGAACATTTTATGTTTATGTCTCATTTAATTCTCACAACCCTGATGAGATATTACTCCTATTGTGTATCTAAGGAAACAGACCCATCAGAGTTCAGCTGGTGTGTGGTTACCAGCTGCAATAGAGCTCACATCCATTGGGTGATTCTGCAAGCTTACACTTTCCACACACTACGCCTGAAATGAAAGAACTTGGAACCATCCCATTTCTATCACACTGTTCAGTAAAGATTTGGAGATTGCTTTGGCAGATGACCACATACAAGGTTCATTTTCCAAGTACTTCAGCTGACGGGTCTGCTGTCTGTCAGCTGCATTCCCCTCACCCATTCCACTTCCCTTTGGCCAGCTTTGCCTCGCAGGGAGACTTGCAGGATCTGACACATCCTTTGCTTTTCTAAATCTTAAGGCTAGCCTGAGCCTGAAGTAATGAACTGTCCAATGCCAAGAAATCTGTTTTGTAGCTTCTCTGTGTAAGTCTCAACACTTAATGTTTTATTCAATGTACTTCATTTTCCTTTCTAAGTACTGGCTTTTCAAGCCTGCAACCTTGGACTACTACAATTTTTAGCACATTTCTGTTTTTTATTTTGACTGAGAATCTTTAGACTTATCCTAGTATCGATAGTTACTCTGTTTGGTCCTTTCAACTTTCTCTCTACAAAAATGTCTTTAAAGCTATATTTTGCCAAATAGATATTAGGGACTGCTCTAGGACAAAGGCTAGCTTAGCTGAACACTTGTAGTTTTCAAAGGAAAGTAAAGGTTTATGGCAATGCTTTCCCAGTCTACCTCCTACCCCCAAACTCCCCTTTTCTGAAATAATGTAT